AGAGTCTCTCCCCCTGCCCATGGGAAACCCCCCAGCCAGCTCGCAGTCCCACGACAGGGACCCCGCCGAGGCAGGCGTAGGGTACTCGAGCGTGGAACTGCTGGCTTCCCTGGGGGGTTATCACCAGTCGTGGGGAGGTTTGCGCCTTCCTGGCGGTGACCTCGTGGAGGTTACTTTGGTTGCCCCGCACGCGCATAACCTACCCACACAATCCACTACGCATCAGCTGGAGCTGCGCTTGCAGAGGGCCGAAGTAGCTGTGCGGCACTGCGGTAAGTTGGTACAAGTGACGCTGTAGTGCATTTGCTGTTAATTTGTTTTGCTACAAAGCGTCTCCTGACGTTGTTGCTGAGGGCGGCCGCCTTGGCAAGCGATCGGGCCGCCGCCAAGAGTCAAAACCAAGGTAATGAGGCTGTATACGAAATGATTACAACTACTATGAGTGTAGAGGTGGCGCTCGGCCTGAGTTCCCCCCATCCATACCCACCCACCCTCCATACCCACCTCCATAACCCCTAGACGGACCCATGCGCGCGGGGGTGCGACCAGTGGCGCTCCTGGGCGGGAGAATCGTGAAGTTGCTCATCCTCCCCCGTCCCCACCTTGGGTGCCTCCCAGCCTCGTCGCCGTAAAGCGGACCCGGGCAAAAATAGGCTGCCTTTCCTAGTAGGCCAGAGCGCCCCGTCCAAGATTGCGATAACATGCTGGCCCCTCCAATTGCTGGCACTGCGTTGGAGGCCAGGACGGCGACGCGCTGCTCGACCTTGCATCCACGCTGCCTGGGTCTAGAGCATTGCTCGACTGCCCGCAGCAGCCCTGGCGGCTCTGCCACACTCGGCCTTTCTTGAGCATGAGGGCCCAGCTTGATCGACACGACTGGCAGGCCCAGCCTGCAGTCCGCTGCCGCGCCTGCAGGGGTCTGTTGCGCGGTGCCGTGCGCGGGGCACAAGGTGAACCATGCGCTGCAGCTACTGGCAGGCTGTGCTGTGTGTTCTGGCGTGGCGGGCCGCCTGGTTCGCGCCTGGCCGCCCCAGGAGGGGGCGGCCAGGCGTTGGCGGAAGTCGATGCGGCGACCGCTGCGGCCGCTGTCGCTTCCGAAGAGGCAAATGCCGCCGCCATCGGCCGCCTGGTGGATGGATGCCTGTACGCGCCCCTGCCGGGCGAGGACGACGCTCCCCGCAGCGGGGGGCCAGGGCGCGCGCGCGGACCCTCTGGGCCTGGCCTCGCCCTCGCCGCGGGGTGCGCCGCCCACCCTGGCGGCGAGCTGACCAGTCTTGGCAAACCCTGGGCACCCCGGGTGGCGGCCGACGCTCCGCTGCCGCCTGGCCACGACGGCGGCCGAAGACCCGGCCCGTGCCAACTCTGCTCAGCGCCTTTGTTCGGGCGCCGACGACTTCCGCGACGCCGACGATGTCGCGGAGGAGCAGGGCCCCCCCTGTTGCGCACGTGCCGACGCCTCGCTCGACGTCCTGACCGACGCCTCGGACGAGGTCGCGGCCGACAGCGCCACCGACAGCCCTGGGGGCCGCAACCGGCCGCCGAGTTCCGCGCAAGCCCCGCCCCTGGCGTCGACCAGAGTCCGTGTTTCGGCCCTGTAGCTGATCGCTGCCGCCGCGCGGGCGGGCGAGGCGGCCCCCGGTTGCGATGGCTGGTGCGCGCGCGTTGATGGGCCGGGACGTCCCAGGGCAGCCGCGGCAGGGGACGCAGAGAAGGTGTGCAAGCGTCCCCGCGGGCTCATCCACTGGGAACCTCGTGTTGGCGAGACACCTGGCGACTGCGTCAAACGGCTCCAACGCGAGGTTGGGTTTACGTTTGCCAGTGGTTGGCACGCTTTCTTCACGGCGCAAGACGAGGGCAGGCGGCGCGTCACCTTCGGCTCTGGGGGGCAGTCGGCTGTCCAATGCGCGGCCTTCCTCCGAGGCCCTGCGGCCGCCTGACGCGACGTCATAGAGTGGGCCGAGCGAGAGGGCGTGGCGCTGCCGCGGCACCGTCGCGGAATGCAGTGCGCGGGCCCAGCCAGACGGGGACCGTTGATCCTGAACGCGGCCGTGTCGTGCTGGGCCCCAGGTCCCGTTTCGCTCTGCGGTTGTGCGACCCTGGTCTGGACTCGCGCATCGTTGGCGGCGGCTCCAACCGCGGCCGACGCCGGGCGGCTCCTCCTCCTCGTAGGCCGCTCCCGCCTCCCTGCAGGAGCGCCTCTTCTCCAAGGTGGGCGCTCTTTCGCTTCATAATGCGCACTTGCACCGATCAAGCGCTTCCAGCATGCGGGCTGCCCTCCAAGGCAGCTCGCCCCCTCGGGCTGCTCTTTCCCCGTGATTACCCTGGCTGGGGACGTGGAGTTCGACTGGGGCGACGACGACGACGGCGACTCTCTTGACCGCGTGGGTCGGCTTGAGGTCGGGTGCCTGGTGGAGGACAGCGCCTCCCCTGTCGCCGCAGTTGGACTCGCCTCGGAATCCTGGTCCGGGCGTGCCCTCGGGAAGGTTGCCCCGTCCTCGCCCCGCCCCGGCTCTCCTGGCGTGCGCTTGTTTCGGCCTGGAGCGTCTCGGCTCTCGCCGCCCTGACCGTTCGTGGGCGCATCTCGCCCTCGGCGGGTAGCTGGCGGAAGTGGCCCGGCGGCGGGTCCGCCGGCTCGAGGCTGAGGGATGTCCAGGGCTTGGGATCCTGGCGTGCGACGTGGGAAGGCTCGGATGGAAAGGTACACCGACAGGGAACGACGGCCCGTCTGGCCTGCAGGCCCAACACGCGGCGTCGCCCGGGATGCTGTGTGAGGTCGCTCCGCGGACATTGCGGCCTTCGCGACGCCCCTATGCAGCTTTGTTCGACGACCAGTCGCGCACTTGGTTCGGACGCGATCGTTCTCGCCGCCGATTCTGGCACGCATGTCGGCCCCCAGTGGGCTGTGCCTCTTCCCCCTTGGGCGGTCTTGGCCAGGGCGGGCCGGGCGGTTCGAACGGCCAGCGTGCCGCTGATGGGAGATGCCATCCGAGGTTTGCTGTGTACAATAGGCGGTGTTGACTGACTTGGGGGCCCCAGAGGATCCGCCTGAGGCCGCTGAGGCTTGGGGCCCCCCGGACGCTCCCGGCGGTTTCCTTGGGGGCCCCTGCGGCGGCTCTGCCGCGGCCGCCCCGGCACCCGTATGAGGGGGCGGCCGCCGGCCAGGCTTGGCGGCTCTGCGCGCGGCATCGCCTCGGGTGCCTGTTGGGCCCGGGGTGGCCCTCCCAGGCCGCCCCGCGGAATGGGCGGCGCCCGCGACGTTCGCTTCGCAGTTTTGCGCGACGATCAGTCGCGTACCTAGTTCGGGCACGATCTTTCTAAGGCATCTTGGTGTCCCTTTGGCCCCCCCCCAGGCCTTGGGACACCTCTGAGTGCGGCCTGGCGCCCTCGCTCCGGGGTGGGGGCCAGCGCGCCCGGCTTTCATGCTCAGGAGGTGACATGGCCCAGGGCGTCGCCGGACCTCGGGCGACCTTCCCAGGCTGCCCCGCAGGAGTGGCAACGACCTCGGCGTCGGTCTCGCTGTTCCCTGCGACGATCAGTCGCGAACCCGGCTCGGCCGTGGGCGCGTCTGCCTGGTGCTCTCACGCGCCGGGCGATCCCCCCAGACCATGCGCCGTTTCTTCCAAGGGATGGCCTTGGGCGAGGCGGGGCAAGAGAAGGGGGCGGGGCAGTTGCCCTGCCGGGGGGCGCCGCGTCGCTGCACGTCCGTGCGACGACCAGTTGGGTCCCTGGTGCACATGTGCACATGTGACGACGGAGATCCCTGACTTTCAACGCGCCTGGAGGGGCCCCATGGCCCGAGGCCCTCCGCTCCAGAGGGCGGGTCTAGCGTCTGCGGCCCGCGCGAGGGCGGACGCCCCGCTCCGATGCTGTCCCGCGATCAGCGGCGTACTTGGGCACCTAGCTGCCTCTCTGCGCGCGGGGTTGCCCCCCTCAAGGGGCGACCCCGACGCAGGAGGGCGCCGTCGATCGGGCAGCGCGCCAGGCTCTCCATGAGCTGACGGCGGGCGGGGCAGTCTGCGGGCCCCCTGGCGGGTCCGACGAACGGCAGGTCACCAGTGCAGCGGCCTCCCCCGACCCCGACCCTCCCCGTGGCCGACTCTGGTCCTCGATGACGCCGTCGAGACCGTGGCGCCTTGAGAACCGCGGCGGCCAGACGGCCGTCGCGACTGATCTGTCCGCCAGCCATTCGGCGGCCAGGGGCGATCGACTGGGCCTGGGCGGTTGGATCGTGCTGGAGTTCGGTGTGGGCTGGGCGATCGCCTCGTTCGGCTGGATCTCCGCCGATCGCCCAACCCTGGCTGCGTTTGCCCTTCCTTTCCCTCCCCGCCTTCTTTCTCCCCCCTGCTCTTAGATCAGTATTGGGCTGACCATTGAGCCGTCCATCGGCCGTACTTCCACCTGTCCAATCCTGCGCCAATTACGGCTGTAGTCGATCGCGTAGGTGGGCCCCTGCTCACGGCTTGTTGTCGATCTCCATGGTGCCGCCATTGTGGGATCGTTTGGTGGATGTCGCGCTGGCTGTTGTGCGCTCTGGTCGGGCGCAAGGAGCTTGTTGAGCCTTGAGGGCTTGGCGCGCGAGAGCTGGCTCTCTCACGTCGGAGCCGCCTGTGCCAGGGGGGGCTCCTGGATCAGGCGGTCGTCGATGTCGGCGTGGGGCCGCGCAGGCCAACGAGGGCAAAGATCAGGCTGTGCAAGTTGTGGCGCGTGCGGGCACCTGCCGGGCGGGGCCCGGCGCCTCGACGTCCACCGCCGCGGTGATCCTGAGGGCTTGTCTCTCCTGGAGTCTCTCGGGCGCATGTGGCTTCCTCCTCCTCCTCCTCGTCCTCCCCACCCTTTCTCCTTTCTTCCATCTTCTCTCTTCGCTCCACGAGCACGGGCCCCTCCCTTCACTCCAGGTCTTTCCACATCGACGGAGCCCGACCTCTGGATGCAAGTACCTTTTTCTTTCAAGCGTGCATCTCGTTTCACTTGCTGTCTCGTTCCCTTGGACCGAGAGCGAGGAGGGCGACTATTTCATCTTCAACTACAGCGGCCACGGGACCAGCGTGCCCGACAAGGAGGGTAGGGGGGGTGTAATGTCATGATGTGGGTGCGGAGGATAAAGGAGGATTGGCAAGCTAAAGAGCAGGGCACGGCCTCTATTCTGTATCCATGACAAGTGTCAATGTGTAGAAGTAGACAGTCCAAGTACCTGTCAGGCTGTAGCACCAACTGGACATTGGGCTGCATTCCGTTTCCTGTCATGTTGCCCTGTGTAAGGTTTTCGGGCCATGAGCTCTGAGGAGTCTTACGCAACAACACCATTATGATCAACAACCGTCCCTTCGACTATGTGACTGTCGCGCATATTTTTTTCAGGCCAACACTTGTCAGAAAGCTTCACACGGTAATCCCAGATCGAAACATGAGGCACATTCCATACGTGTAGCTGCAGTTTTCAGACCAAGGTACGACGCAGCAGGTCCAGGTATTCTAGTTGTTTAGCATATTCTCCTGCTGTTGTTGTGCAGCCGCCGCCGCCTTTCGCTGCCGTGCGATATTGTACCGTAGATATGTTTGGATTAGAGATACTTGGTCGGCACCGCGGGCCGGCCTGGTGTCAGTGAAACGGGATTGCTTTGTGTCGTCACCGTGTCGTCGTCCCTCCTCCCGCGCTCACACATCCTCTGTACATCACCTTGCACAGCCATGTCGATACGACCCGTTCAGAGCAAACATGAGACTGACATTGCAGCATCGTCACATCCCACATTTGCTGGGGATCTTGTTCTTTCTGGCAAAGAATTCGTTTGAGCATGAGCTGAACTCAATCCGTGTACAACTGCAAACTTTAGGACGCATGTGCGTGGCGCCAACGACTTGTCGTCCATCCATGTACTGGACAGTCGCAGATATAAGACGAGTGTGCGTGGCGCCACGACGAGGGCAACGCCAAAAAAACGATATCGCCCCCAGCTGTTGGAGTCATTTATCACCAGGAAAACTTGTGTGAGGAAATCTCAAGCAAAACGCTATGCCCTTCTTGCTGACACGTTTGGCGGTGCTTTTGATTTTGAAAAGGGATTGGGCAGGATAGTGGATCAGGGCTAGAAAGGGGGGATCGGGGAGGAATATGAGAGGAGGCGGCGGAAGAGGATGAGGGGGACGAAGTAGAAGAGGTGGAGGAGGGGGAGCGCGCACAGATGCGGCAGCGGGGTCGGTGACCACGACGCGAGCTCAGACGGAGTCCCCCTTGACCCTTTAGCTGGACCTGGATCCTGCAAGGCGGGCGGGTATGGAGTGGTTACTTCCGGCGGGTGCTCCCGGCGACGGCTTCCCGTCGGCTTGGCGGCCCGTGTCGGCAGCCGGCTGCCGACATCGGGAGCTTGGCGCCCGTATGCCTCGGCGAGCAGCGGCGCCGCATTGCGGGCGCCCGCTCGTGCCGCCGCGGTGCACGCCTGGCCCGTGGCAGGATCGTACGGGCGGCGTCACGGGCTCCACGCAGCAGGCGGCGGCGGGAGAGGAGGCAGCAGGCGAGGCCCGCCTGCCATCTCTGCATTTCCCTTCTCTTCTTCGAGCGTGATGCCGCGCGCTTGGGAACCGACGCCTCCGTGGAGGGCGAATTTGGCTCGGCCATTGGTGCCTGGGTGCAGCTGGAGTCCATGCCTCTGAGGGCGGGCGGGCTGACACCTTCAGGGCGATGCCAGCGGCCTGCGCGAACGCCTTTGACACCGAGGCGCTGCATAACGACGTTGAGGAGAGGACGTTCAAGAGAGGTCCACCGCTTGATGGACCACATGTGCGTCACTTCCCGTGGCCTTGCCCATGGGAAGTTCCCTGGCCCATCCCTGCCCTTGTGCGCGTCCTTGTCAGTGCGGTGCTTCGACGATTTGGCGGACCTGGGCAGGCAGGGCGATCGTCGTGAGGGCCTTTTCGCAGGCGCGGAGGCCATGTGCAGGGACTCAGGCCCGGTTTCTCGGGGCGGCGCCAGCGTCCACGGACCGCGTGTGGCCAGCTGCAGGCGCGTTTGGGCCACCCTCCGCGGGGTACATGGAGAGCTGGTAGGCCGCTATTTTGGACGCGTGCGGGAGCCGCGATGCGGCCACGTTCTGGCATACCAAATGGCACGTGGCAGAGCGAGCGCATCGGGGACATCGCGAGCCTGTTGGTAGAGCTCGTCTTCGGGGTTCCCGTGAACCACATGCGACTGCTTGCGTTTTGGGGGCGCTGGCTAGCATGCCGAGTCGTTGTTTTGACGCACGAGGGTCATTTCTTTTTGTAGCTGTTCGGGGGGACCTCCACAAGTCAGCCGCGTTTTCCTCCCTCCCCCCTTCCCCGTTCTCTTCTCCTCCTCCCCTCTCTCTCGTTCTTTCTCTCTCTCTCTCCGTTTTTGTTGGTTGCTTCTTGATCTTTTGCTTCGTTGGTGATTGTTAAATTGTCATTTCTACAGAAGAAAACACTCCCCTCCCGTGACCATTCAATGTTTTGAATTAGCGTGCTCTTCCCGGGGCTCGCACCCGTTTTTTAAGAGGAAAGCTTCGTGTCACCAAACTGCGTTGTTGGGCCTCGAATTACGAC